TCCAGGAAGACCTGGCCAGGGCCTCCGACACCGCCATCCTGGAAGACCACCCGTACTTTAAAAGGACCATAGTGTCAGAACCGACGCCATAAACAAGGATCATTTAGAAAATGAAGTACATTAGAAATTTTAAGGATCATTTGGAAAAGGGAAAACCATAAGTCAGCTTCCAGTTGGGCATATTTATATGCTTACCCTGATGGGCATTGCAGCAATATGGCACGAAAGAGAACTCCTCCAGGTGCCTAGCCTGACGTGGGTGCTACCGTATGCATGGCTATGCCACATAGCCAAAAACTGCTCAGCTTAGCATGGACTTGGTCAAATCTGGCATTTGCAGCTGCGCAGTGCTTGCAGCTGGGGCAGCTAAAAAAAATGTAAACAAACAGATAATCGGAATATGTTCGACACAGGGGAATATTTTTTGGTTCGGAGGCTGTTATTTTTGTACAATAACAGCCTCCGAACATGAATATGTATTTAAAGAGGGGCTGATGTCTTGCTTCAAGGTATTTCGAGGAGCCGACCCCTTAAACCCTGACCCATCAAGACTCTCAAAACCGTAAAAACCTGTGCACCTGTTGGGGCCTGGAAAGTTGAAGATTTTGGGCTCAATTGGGATGAATGCATAGGTGAAGGACAGCTTCTAGGGCGGTTGCACTAGCTGCAAGGCTTCAGAGGCTTGTATCAAGAATTACTGTGGCCCCTAAAGAATCTTGGTTCTTAAGGCACTGGAAAGGATCTTTGTGAAGCTTGCAGGTGGCAAACGGATTCAAGGTTTCTAAAAGTTAGGGTTGTGTAGGGCTTAGGGCCGAGGGTCTTGGGCGCACGAATTATAATAGGACATTTAGGGTTTGGAGCCTAGGGCTTCGGGCTAAGGACTTCTAAGGCTTTGAGGGCTTTGGGTTCAGAGTTCAGAGTTCAGGGCTTGCGGTTTCGGATTTAGGGCCTACAGGGCTCATGGTTTAAGATTTTGGTTGGTGGCTTGTGGGTTAATGACAAGGACAGTCTCTTGCCCAAGACCTATGGACAGGAAGCGGACGAACTTCTGAATTAGATCACGGAACCCCACTAGAGAGCCCGAATCTAAAATTTAGAGAGCCCGAATCTATACACGGCTTAACATCCCTTCTTTTAGAAAACTTTCTTCCCCCCATTAAAAACCCCACACAGTTGAATGAAAAATGTTTTCACTCCAGCAAGCGCTTCAACTTGTAGTTCTTCAGAGCAATTGCATTTCGACGCAGCAACTGCCGCTCTGCCGTGCGGTGGCTGCATTTTCGCAGCATGCGGATACAATGTTTGATATGATCCTCAAAAATGTAACAGTGGTCCCACCCTGGAGAACGCCGGCTTGGTCTGGCACTTTCCAACATGTGTTGAAGGTAATGAAGTTTCGGTCTCATCTTGAAATAGTGCTGGTTTGCAGCAACCGCCTCAGCAGCAAGGCCAGCGTAAACCGTGAGGAACGCCCCGCCCACAACATCAATGTGGCGCTTCTCCTCCCCACTCAGAAATGTGCCGGCCTGCGTGATACACGAAGCTAGCTCATCAGCCGCCCAAACAGCAGCAAGCAAACCACCATAGGGACCACCAGGTGGAGCGGGTTGGGACTGGATTTTGTGGTTCAGGAACCCCAGAAAAATAGCTGAATCCGCTGCTTTGGATTTGAACACAGGACAACCTTTCGACCAGCTTAAGTTCTCTTTCCTGAGCCGTTTCAAAGCGACTTGCTTGCCGCGCTGCTTCGCCCAAGCTTTGGCCTCTGCATAAAGCTGGTTGAGACGCCTAGCAATCGTAGAGCCTTGATACATTCCCACGGACTTGCAGAGAAGTTTGATGGTCGAACCAATAAGATCCTGAGCCACCCCAAGGCTCCAGGTATGCATGAAATCTACCTGGACCATTTCCAAGCACCAGCCATGCAATCGAGTGAAGGGCGGTGGATGCACCCATGGTTCCAGCATGCCCACTGTAGTACGCCATGCAGCTGATTCAGACACATCCGTGTAAACCAGATCAAAACAATGATTGCCCCTGCTCGCCAAGCATGAGAAGCAGACCTCAAGGGAAGAGATTCTCCACCCACAAACCCTACAGCGAAAACCCCTAAACCCTAAAGAACCTAAAGCTCAAATCTAAAGCCCCTAATGTCTGGACCCTAAACCCCGAATTGTGAATTATCACCCTATTAAACCCTAAGCTCTGAAACCTACAACTATGAAATCTTAACACAAACCCTAAACCTGAGCTCGTGTCTGGAAGCAAGTTTTGCCATGATCGGCCTCTTCGCAGCTGGGGTGACGGTCAAAGCAGAAGGCTTGGGTCAAGTACTTGAGGTCCCCACGGAAAGCCATTGGCGCAAAGTAGACTGTATCCTGGGGCTCTATTGAATAAACTATATGCTCTAGCTTAGTCGATCAAGTCTCTGAAAGATTGCAATACAGCAGCCCAAGGTTGAGTAAACAAATAAAATGAAGAAATAAAAGCCTAAAAGGAAACAAAAGGCCTATTCCAAACAAGAACAACACGTTCCCAAGAAAAAAGAGGCACCCCAGAGCTGGTTTCCACTCCGTACTCCATTAGCTGGTTGAGATCAGTCACCAGAATCTCATTTAGCTGGTTCAGAGTTTCATTCTGGTGCGCTTGCACATAGTAGCGGCTCGCCAACATGGAGTAGATCATGTAGCGGGAGCATTTCGAATCTTCTCGAAAAATCGACAAGTCTGGCGTCCTTATAAGAATAACATTGTTTCCTAGAGGTCTTAATATATGGTGTCTCATAAATGAAAGAGAAACATTGTTCTTGCCACTAGGAAACCAGGGTACCACCATCCATGAAGATGAATTGAGAGTCCCTTCGTCACCCCAAAGGCATATCGGTATGCAGCGACGCCACCTTTCTGGGAACCTTCTCAACCAGTGGTCCCCAAAATCAGGCAACAAGCGAGCCCAATAAACTTCCAATTCTGCAGGTGACGGATACATGGTGTCCAAGAAATCATCCGCGACCAGCGCTTTAGCCTTGCATATGACTTCTACTCCAGCTGTTTAAGGTTTGCAGGGTCAAGGGGCGGGGCTGAGATTTATGAAGATTGGGGTGAGCCACATGAGAGGGTTCAGGGGTTTAGGTAGGATTTCAAAAGTTCAGGTAATCTGTCAAGGCAAGTAACCATTGACGATGGCAGGACCATTGGGCATAGATCAATGCTGGGCTCGGTATCATCCCCACGGATCACAGGTGCTGCCACGTACGTAATTTCAGTTGCCAGGGCATGGCCAGATTTTCGAACCCGAGCATGGAATTCACCCTCCCGAAGTGGTCTAGATTCGTAGCCTTGAAGTAAAGTGGAGCCATACACTTCACCTTGGTTGGGTTGCACCCCAAAGCTTTCCCAGACACTGACATGTTGAAGAGCATTGTTCAGGTAAGACTGCATTGAAGACTGAGTGGCCAATTTCGCACGCAAGAGATATGCTGGAGTCGCCGTCAGCTGTGGCCCTCACCAACCTAAGCTATGATTTCTGATCCCTCAAAAGAAACTTTAACCTTTTAGGCCCGGCATCAATGTCCACATAGCATCAGAATTTAAGCTGAAATTTGGCACCAAAGGTATATGCTGCAGACCAAGCCGCAGCCCATCAAGCCGAGCACTTCGTTGAGCATCCGATGCGACAGGCGGATCTGCGCAGGGATTTGCAAAGGGCAAGGAGCATCAGCTGGACAAAGGCAGATAACAGGGATAGCTTGCACAATCCACAACAGCATTCAGATTTTCCTGCGAGCCACATCAAGCCGGGCCCCCATGTCCACGACTGTTCGCCCATCATTCTAATCCCAGGTTTGAAACATCGAAGCCCACTGTCAGTCAGCAGCTACTGCCCATGTGATGTTAGACGCTCATGTGTCACCGTAGCCAGACGACTGATCCTAAGGCTGCCCGCCGTAACGTGTGCACAGCAGGGTCTACCATCAAAAGCCGTTGCAGAAAAGCCCACAATATAGTGGGCTTAGCAAGCCACCCATAAGTTAACACATGCCCCAAACCATAACCATCACCGCATACTAGCAACATACGCTTCCGTAACGGCTGCCCCAAGCAGCCGCAACACAAGCCCATGACGTACATTGTAGCATTTTGTAGAAAGCTCATTGCTGAAATAAATTCGAGTACATCGCGTCACAAGCTTGCGTTGCCTAGCTGCTATCAGCGCGCTTGCGCAACTCATTCAAGAGGCCCTTCGCTTGGGCTTTGACGAGCTGGATGTTCTCAATCTGCACAAGATGGAGGCTTCATCGTTCAAGTTTCAGGTAAATTATGGGGATCAAGTTGAGGATTAAATCAAGTTCCAGGCCTCAGCAGCGATCTTAGCACAGAGCTTGTCCAAAGCATCGCCCGACTTCGTGGTTTGCAGCCTGCCACACATTACCATGCTTGAAGGGCTTGGGCTTTGGGAGGCAACTTCCTAACAAGGTGTTCCAGGCAGCTCATAATTGGGTCCACATATCTAGACCTAATAAGACCTCAAAGCCTTCTACTAGGATTAGCTACGCATCCTATTTGAACTCAGCAAAGAAAGGTACTTGTTCTTGCACCCTAACAAGAAAATGATGGGCACCTCTTGGCCAGCGTTCGCAAGCGATCATCGTGGGCATTCAAATCCTGAAAGACCTCCCGAACCCTGGGGCGTTCATCCGTATTGAGATCAATGAGGAAGCCAGCCAGAACAGAGATCTCCTTCTTCACAGTGTCGCCTCAGTAAGCACGCTTGGAAGTAACACAGAAAATAGCACAACAATCCCACAGTATAGAGTGAATGCCTGGACTAGTTGCTGTATTTCTTATGTTTCTCCTCATCTGTCCTGAGAGACTCGTGAATGAGGGACTTCTTGCCTGTAAAGGAGGATGCCGTGCTTCTGGCTTTCCCACGTGATGATGCTGCGCGGCCACGGCGATTGGCGCCCGCAGGAGCTCCAACTGCCAACACAAGCATTCAAGATTCAATGTTGCTGGGGTGTGGGTTTGGTTTACTTTCACAGACCATGCTGTAAAATGTATCCAGGCCTTCGGCAGCTGCTGCCAACTCGGTGTTATAATTGTCGAATGCTCGTAAGATATCTCCACTTAGTGGCTTCGCCGCTGCATTCGAGCTCCTAGCTCGGCGAAGGATTCCAGGCATTCCCCCATTGCCAGTCGAGGTGACACCGTCTATCATGGCCGTGGTCGGGCGGACATCTGCTCCCATGCTGGCCTAAATCCTAAGCTAGTGCAACAGACCCCGTGAACTCCAGGATATGTTGTGTTTCCAATTATATGAACTGATGACTAAGCGACCGCTGCTCGGTTGCTTCTGTCTTGGTCCGCTTGGTGATCACCCAAAATTTTGTTTCTTCGAGGCATCCAGGGCAATCTGGGTCCTCCTCTCCACCCCCACGGCTAATAATGCTTTCTATCTTTCTCCTGAGCTGAGCTAACAACATCGAAACACCAAGCCAAACGAAGCATGCTACCTGACCCTGGCTAACGTTGGTTGTAGAAGCCCAGGCGCCTGCTGAAGCTCAGCGGGGGAAGGGCCATGTCTTTTACAGACACTTGTGTCCACACACGTTCGCCGCGCAGGCTGTCAATACGCTGGACTTCCAATCGGGCCTCGATGGCAGAAGTGTTGCCTCCTGTTGCCACCCATTGTCGGAGCAATTTGTTTCGGTCCTTGGGGAACGCAGTATAGATGAGGAATCAAACTAGGTGGCCCAGATGTTGAGCATGCATCAGGGTAGGAGAAACTGTGCGCAAGCATTCCACTCCAGAACTGGATGATTCATGTGAGAGAAGCAGCCTCCAGGGTTCCATCCATCATGTTTGTGATGTTCGGGCAGTCGGCAAAGCGTCCTGACGCATGCGACCTCACCTAAGCTAGGCATTGCAAGCTCAGCAGCTGCGCAAAGCATCAGCAAGTGAAATCAGAGCTATGACATCAGCTGAGAAGCCATTTTCATATACTCCTTCTTGTGAGTGGAAGTGTTGACAGCAACACCCTGATTCGCATTGTCTGAGCACGCGCTCAATGCGTCCACTGAGGTGGTCGATGGAGGCGTTGCTGCAACTTTCGGCATTGCTCTGACTGGGGTGGCTACTGGTCTGGAGGCCAGCGGGGTAGGGTCCGGTACTTTCTTGGATTGCGGTGCTTTGGCCGATGGGGACGCTAGGGCCACTAGGGGCTTGGGTGAGGCTGAGGGGGGGGACGCTGGCTTGGCTGAGGATTTAGAAATTGGGGCAAGTTCCAAAGAAAGCGGCTTGATTGAGGCTGGGGACGCCGGTTTGGCTGCTTCGGGCAGGGGCTCGCTTGTCTTCGGGATTGCAAGCGCCAAACAGCTCTCAGGGGCCTTTGGCTCAGTCTCAGGGGCCTTTGGCTCAGTCCCAGGGGCCTTGGGTTCAAGCTGAACAATCATGCCCTCCACGCGCTCTAGAAGCTTGTGGACATCAGCCAGACCAATTTGGCTAGCTGAAGGGCCCAACCTCAAATAGAGATAAAGCGATAACACCGACACTAGTGCAGCAGCGTAGGCTTTACTCTTAAAGATATTGATGCAAGCCACGTCTTCAGGATTTCAGAGATATCCTCCATCGACTTCTGGCGATCCGACTCTTTGCTGCCCAAGGAGCGTGCCTCGGCAAGAAGAGCTTGCCCTTCTTTGAAAGTAGAGCAGGACCTGAAGCAAAGATGAATTCGCATAGGTTCAAGGGTTGTAGTATTGGGAGGGAATGCAGCAATATACAGTCAAGGCAAGGTACAGCTGGGAGGAATCTTCTACCTGGGTCTCGTCTAGAGCAGGGTCGTGTAGCGGGTTCGCTGGCTGCAGCGACTTTGCATTCTCACCGCTCTGAGCACTTTCACTTGCGCGCTCCAACACATCCTCCAAACACTCTAGCTCATCGAGAGGCTCCCCATCCAGACCCACATCATCTTCAGCGCACTCATCCTTCATATCATCATCATCATCATCATTGTCATCCTTTCCAGCCATTGCATCATCATTGGCTGCCTCCTCATCAGGCTGGCTCCCAGGGGAAGAGGGCTCTGGCCGCTCAGACCGAGTCCGCTTTGGCATTGGCTTCAATCCAAAGTCCGTGTCTGAGGCATCATCATGATCATCATTGTCCTCATGGATCCTGCGCTTGGATGAGGAAGCTTCGAGGCGTTCAGCCGCATTCTTTCGGGCAAGCTCGGGGGTTGGCTTTGTATTGTCTTGGCCCTTACCCTTTGCTTTCGGGGAAGCTTTCGCCTTTCCTTTGGCCGCTGCTTTCGGGGTCGCCTTTGCCTTGGGCATTGGGGTTTCCTCGTGCTCTTCCTGTTCTTCTTCCTCCCCGGAATCCTCATCCATGCCTGCCCCTTCCTTCGCCGGCTTCGCCTTTGCCTTACCCTTTGCTTTTGGGGAAGCTTTCGCCTTTCCTTTGGCCACTGCTTTCGGGGTCGCCTTTGCCTTGGGCATTGGGGTTTCCTCGTCCTCTTCCTGTGCTTCTTCCTGCTGGGAATCCTCATCACTGGTTGCCTCTTCCTTCGCTGGCTTCGCCTTTGCCTTGACCTTTGCTTTCGGGAAAGCTTTCGCCTTTCCTTTGGCGCCCGCTTTCGGGGTTGCCTTTGCCTTTGCTTTAGCCTTTGCTTTAGGCGCGGGGACCTCCTCATCATCCTCCATCATTTCCTCTCCTTCCCCTTCCGAATCCCCGCAAGCACTTTCTTTCTCATCATCGGTTTCCTCCTCCTGTTCCACATCCTGGCCACGCTTTCCCTTGCCCTTGCCCCTCCCCTTGCCATCTCCTTTGGCCTTCCCCTTACCTTTCGCCTTGGTCTTGGAATTGCTTTGCTTCGTGTTTTTCGCAGGCTCCTCTTCTTCCTCGTTCTCCTCCTCCATGTCCTTTTCCTCCCCATTTTCCTTTTCCTCCTCTTCCTGCTCATCATTTCTAGTACACTTCCCGGCTGCTTTGCGAGGGCGGTGCTTTGGAGCCACTTTCACAGCTCCATCCTGCTGCGTCAACTCCTCCCTCACTTGCTTGAACACCTTTAGAGCGTCCTCGTAAGCAAGCTTCTCACTTTTCATGAGCTGCCGCAAAGTCATTGAATCGGGTCCGGCTATGTGACTGTCGAGGGGCACAGGTGGGTTCTCTGGAACCCCAGTGTGCCCTGCCAGTTTCAGGGGCGCTCCCTTCTTCTTGGCCTCTGCCTTTTCTAAGGCCTTCTTGTTCTGGAGATCTTTTATGCACTGTCGCACAGCCTTGCCCCGAGCCAAAGAATCCTTAAGACCACCCATGGCCCTGAAGAATGCTAGTTGATCTCTGCAGCTTGATTGAGCCCCTAGAAGACAGGAAGAACACTTACAGATGTGCCAAATTTGAGATCACGGGAAATCACGGCAAATAACGGCCATTAGGGCTGCTTTTAACGGCCTTTTCACGGTTTTTCACGGCCCCCAAGCTCCAGCGCCCCTTGAATTTCGAATTGTCAGCAAAATGCCGTATGGTCCATAACCTAGGAAAGCAGTTCTCCAAGCCAACAACATCGGTTGATATGATGCTTGGGTCTTCCTTTATCATGCAGCCAAGATTCCAGACAAGGTAATGAATGATGTCAGAATCCTTTGCAAAGCCCCAAGCAGGCGCGCCCATGCTTTCTTACTTCAACATCCAGACAACCCCAGGCCTTGAAGCTGAACCCCCGAAGATAAGCGAAACCATATGTCAGGACGCGCCGATGATCCTCGGCAACAGGCTTGTGACAGGACAGCGGATAGATGGCGCATGCTAGACAGTTTATATGACCCTGAGTTGATTGCAGAAACTGCAAGAAAAGGACAGCAGCAGCAAGGAACGTACAAATCATTACAAAAACAACAAAATCGCAAGGGTGGCAAGAAGCGTGCAAAAGCGTGAAAAAGCGTGAAAAAGCGTGAAAAAGGCGTGCATCCATAATGCCCCCAGCTCTTTCTGTCAAGAGAGCGCCCGTGAAAAACAGTGAAAAAGTGTGAAAATTTGCCTCTGCTGTTCTTCCCAGGCCCCCAAAATTCGCGCAAAAACATCGAAACAAGCACCACTTTCAGCTGGAACTCAAGAGGACATGCACACAGCGTGGACATGTCAGAAGCACAGCAGAACCTGAACAACCTATGAGAAAGGCTGAAAAATCTAAGCATGTCTTGTCTTTAAGACTGTGAATTCATCAGCATGCAAAAAACCGTCGACAACCCTTAACACCCTTACCCGTAATCCACGCAGACCTATACCCAGGAAAAGCAGCATTATCTGTTGAGGATATGAGTACACACACAACTGATCAGTATCAGCTCCTAGACCATACGCATAGGGACTGGGATTGCTTGTTTGCTTCAATACGGAAGCTGGATATGATATTCCTTGAACATAGAACTAGGCGTGCCAGGACTGTGCGCGCAAGCCTGGAAGGATTCTTTGGAGATCACATTTGAGATGGGGTGTTCTTGGGAACTATTCAGGAGCAGATATTGGTCTTAGGTTATAGGGTTATTGCAATTGGCTAAATGCTGCCTAGCAACCTGGCCAGCTCACCACGAAGTGCATCCTTAGACGCAGGCTGGGAGCTAGACATTTACGTATTTATGTACGTGGCTTGTAGCGTAAGTGGAAGTATTTGTGGGACCTGTCCATACAAGGCGCCAATTCACCAACGAATAAGACTTTGAAAAATCCTTGCGAAAAGCCTTTAAGACCCCCTCTATAGCGCAGGACGCCAGCTCATGTTGGGTTAATAACAAGAACTACCAGGACCCCGCCAGCAGCAGTCGTAGTCATTAGGTGGGTCATGGGAATAAGTGGGGGTGGACGCAAGAAATAACATCACTTCGATCCTGCTGGGCACAATCAAAAGCTTAAAAGGAGGTTTGTGTTGAAGGCCTGGCAAGATTAACACACGTGCTTATGAATCCTGCTGCAGATACCAGCAAGGAAAAGCCCTGTGGGATGCCATGGCAAGTCATGTGCTTCGCAGAAAGAAAAGACGAGATAGAGAAAGAGAGAGAGAGAGAGAGAGAGAGAGAAAGAGAAAAATAGAGAAAGAGAGAGAGCGAGACTGAAAGAGTATACGAGGGGCTCGAAAAAATCATTTAAAGATGTCTCAACATGATCCGAGAGAGAGAGAGAGAGAGAGAGAAAGAAACAAAGAAAGAGACAGGGAGAGAGAAGGCTTCAAAATTAGCTTAGAAATATTTCGATATAATTTGAGAGAGAGAAACAAAGAAGGAAACAGGGAGAGAGAGCGAGAGAAGGGAATTTCTAGAAAGAGAGAGAGAGCGAGCGAGACAAAAGAAACAGGGAAAGAGATAGAGAGAGGGAGAGAAGAGGGAGAGAGAGAGAGAGCGAGAGACAACGAGAAAATGCGAGAAACAGAGAGAGAAGAAAAGGACAAAAGAAAAACGAGATGGCTCCAATATGAG